AGTTTGCATAGATAATTTAAATCCTTGGACTTGACGCTTTTTTAATTACCGTGGCTAACGTGTTTCGTCGAATAAAACGTGGAAGTTCGGCTGTAAAACGGAAACAAACAAAAATGTATGTGTGCATAAAAAAGGTTAAATGAATGTTGAGGCAAAGCTAAGCCAAAAGTAGAAAAGCGACTGTATCCTATATGCACTTCATTGCCAACCGGGCAAATTAATTTTAGCGAGTTCTTTCGCAGAAAATTGGCTATTTTGCTCGCACATAAACACGCCCAGTGGACTAAATTCTGAAGCTAAATGTTGGATTTAGTATGTTTTTTTTTATTCAGCGGAAAACCCGAATTTATAAATTTAAATGGAAATAGGCGTGCTCTAACAGAAACCCGAATACAAAACAAAACTGAATTTATACTGTGGCGATTGCCGAATTAAAACTAGTAATTACCACGCATAAGCCAAACTAATACTTTGCACTTTAAGTTCACATATTTACAAGGGGGGCAATGAAACGTTTTCACATCATTATTTTCGGTTTTTGAGTGGAAAAGAAGAAAACGCTCAAACGCCACATTTTTTTATCTACTTGGGACAAATTGTTGATGTTGTTTCAACACTCTAACTTTAATCTTTATGCGGGGGTGACAGTTGGTCAAAAAATTTCTAATTGGACGGAGGCTCGACTGATATCACATTTCAAAGGGATCGTAACCCTTTACATATTACTAACATCGCCGCAACATCGCCGCAACATCGCCGCAACATCGCCGCAACAAAAATTYKCAAACTCATCACCATATTTCCTCGGATGATCTTATTGATACAGGGTGAGTCGGCATTAAACTGCCATGGTTAAGAACCCATGTATAGAAATTTTCATTCTAAGCAAAAAATGTCTGTAAGTGCTGGTCCGGAAAAGCTTCGCTTAGGGCTTAGACCTCAAATATTCAATTGAATTTGAATTCAAAAAATTCAAAAAATTCAGAAATTACAGTGTACATATTGAATTAATTTTTTTGCACTAAATAAGCCACATTATTCACAGTGGCGTGCGTACAACAATTACGTAGGTATGTGTATATTTTTCATGTCCACCTGCTCTTTTTTTGTATAAAAACTATTTTATATTTTTTTCTTTATATCGGAAAATAACTCGCTTGAACCCGTTTTGTACAGCGCACTATTTTCGAGAAACATTGATAAATTGGAGTTTGCTTAGGCGGTGCATAAAGTCGCGGATAATTGACATATGCATACATGAAAAAGTTGATTTTAAACAAAAAATATATACAAACAGGTACCCGTAAATGCCTAAAATATTAAATTTTCTTGCTGCTTTCGAGACATTTTTAAAATTGTAGTTTGTCTAAAACTTTTAATACCCTGTAGCTCCCAAACGAAGTGTGTCCGGACTTACCTAGGAGAGAACTTTTTTGCTTCAAATGTTACTGCCTATGCATTGTTTTCAACGGCATTTTAATCCCGGTTCTCCCCCAAAAAGATAAATAGTATATACTTTAATAATAGATCTAATAGATCGCCCTCTATATTTGTTCAACAGTTGGTTCTTCTATCTTTCCAAAATTGCATTCTAATACATGAAGATAGATTGTGTCTCAATCGTTCACCTAAATCCTGTAAATATATTCTTTTAAACCGCGTCCATAGTCTTGTATTGCATTGTTTTATCGGTTTACTAATCAACATTTTCTATAAATCAGGTTAGTTATCTGATTAATCATTTATTTTGTCATATAACATTAAAATTGGCCTTCATAAATTTCCCATGCTCAAATGTAGAAATTGCGCGCCTTGTGACGCCAAACAACAGATGAAACGTCGGCTTATACATTTCCTAACTATCTGCAACCCTTTGTCCACTAGAGACCCTTCATTCCATGATTTAAAAGGTCATTAACCAAAATCAATAATGTAGAGCAAAGTAGTCAACTAAACAATTTTAGAATTCCACCTGGGGCATATATTGCACTTGCACAAATACAATAAAATATATGGCAAGCTCGCAATAATTACGAACACCCCTTGATTTATTTTCAGTTATCAGCGTTTTTGGCTATCAAGCGAATTATTAATACATATCAATAGTCGATGGTTTTAATTAAAAATTCTCAATATCGTTTAAATTGATATCTATGCATATTTAACCCTTTTTTCAATAAATTTGCTTTACAACTTATTATTTTAAAATGTGTTCCACAAACAATATACATTTGAACCATACGTTGTTTGAATGGCATTTTCGAATTTTAACAAATTTATGCAACGTTCGCAATTAGCAATAATCGCGGGAATTGATTAAAAGCTCTGTATTAATCGAATCAGGCGCTAATAAAGTTTCAAATATTATCAAAAATTTCACACGATGAATAAACGCGAATTCTGAGTGTGTATTTATATGAATTTAGTAGTTTGATTTGATCAAAATTGAACCCCTCATAGCATCGATAGAAGATTGATGAATTAAAACGATTTGGATATGCAGGTGTTTAAATATATTTGTTTTTCGGTTCGTTTTCTTTAGATCCATTTCTCAGAATAAAAACAAAACAGGTGTCAGGAGTGAGTCGCCAAAAGCAAAAATTACAAAATCACTTTACAAATAACATATTTCCTGTCAAAAACTCATTAAGATAATACATTGCCGATGATTTCGCTGATGAAATAACTTGCATAAAACTTGCATATTTCTGGTATATTTTTTCCCAAAAAGTTCACGTTTCTAGTTTTCCAACTATAACTTCTAGTTGCGTGGACATTTCCATTATTACTTTTAAATCGAAAACAAAATGTATTAAATAAATTTGCGAAAAATAAATTTATATTCATGATGGTATTTTGTCGTCAGCTTGCCTGAAATTTGTATGCTCAAGTTGCAGTATGATTTTCTTTTAGAAACTGGCTCAACTTACTTGGGTCAATCGCTTCGTTTCGAAACACATATTACTTTTCAGGCAATCACGTATTTATCTTAAATTATGTTTGGCAAATGTATTTTAACAATACCAATAGAACCGGGTTCATTTAAAATGCTAATTTAAGCTAGAAACAATTTAGCCGCAAGCGAAATTTAAATTTGATGATTAAATTCCTCGATTCTGTGCACAATTATGAATATATATTAGTTTATGTTCATGTTTTTCTGAACATCCATAATTCCAGCTTTTAAATGGATCCAATATGGAGTTTGTTGGAATTCCGTCAGCAAAGCTTCAATGCAAATGAAAGTAATTCTAAATTTTGTTTCTTTCTAACCACCACACTTGAGCAAAGTAAGATATTAGAGATACAATAATCATTTTTGCTATTTTATTAGGTACATGCTATTAGTTCGTGGTAATTAACATTCGTGACGTGGGAAAAATGAAAAGGAAAATAAAAAATATTGGAAAATAGTATAGAGGCGAGGAGGGAAAATAAGAGTTGTCCTTTTGAGATCCGAAAGCAAGACAGTTAATCAGATAAAATAAATTTCAACAATGTGTTCCAAAATATACGAAAACGTTTTACAAATTACTTTATAAGATGACAAATACTCCACCATTTAATATACTTAGGACTGGTATATAATGAGAATGATCGATCTTCTAGCCGAGGAAACGCAATATTAATCTCGTAGTGGAAATTTTTCAAGAATATTTTATTTTCCCAGTTAAGTCATGTTATTACAAATATATTTTCCTAGTCTGATTCAAAACACATAATTACAGAATCGGAAAGGATAAGATATTCTTCTGCAGTCAGCAGAACGAAATTATGGAGTGACACAATAAAGTTTAAATTATTTGGCATGTATTTTCCAACCAGACCCGAAGAAGAAAAATAAATTAATGTGAAATGTGATTCAGGTTTCCAACAAAAAAATATATTAGTTTTAGATTAGAAACGCTATTGTATCGCTCAACTTTGCTTTTGCTATGTCTGAAGCCGCATTAAACCTTCGTTTGAATGATGAAGGAATACTGAAATATCACACTATACCTGAGCAAGGCATTTTTTCCATTTTGCCATTTCTTCTTTGAATTATCAGTGTCTCAGATTTTCGGTTGCACAACTATTCATTATCAGTGCCGTAAACATGATTATGACTTATTTTTCCAAAAATTTAAATTTCAAAAATCGTCGGTTATGCAAATTATTTTAATATGTATTTTTTGTCTTGTCTTTTTTTGGTTCTTTTTAAGTCTTTGTGTCTGGGTGATGTTATGCACCGTGGCCACATGTGTATAGTGCAGATGTTTTAGAGACTGTAGGATATTCAGCTCTCAATTGTTTAAAGTTTTGTTCATCTTAAATAATCTCACCATAGAGAAATATTGAAACATTTTGTTCTGAAATGAGCACAATGGATAATAACAGCAAGCCTTTAGGCTGTTTGTTAACGAATATTTGGACGAGCAGGTTTAATAAACTGGCTGGCAAAAAATTGTGCATTTTGTACACGAACCTTGGGTTTCGTTCAGCATGAGAGACGGGCGTTGATCATTTCTTATGATCTATTGTTTTACATTATGAAGAATCACGTAATAACAGTCAGCATTCAAAATTTTAGTAACTATCATTATATAGAGAATATTGAGAAAACTTTTAACAATTTAATTGGAAAAATAACTTACGAATATTATAAATTTATTCGCTCTAGCTTAAACATAGATATGCAAACCATTCGGATAACTTAGATACACCGTAATTTTTTCTACTCTTCAAATAAAATAAAGCTACATCATAAAGAATATACTCGCAGATCATCATTACACCAAATTTTGAAATAGTTTTCTAACCAAATTTTTTTAAAACGTCCGGAACACTGTGTATCGTAGGGATGATGGTTTCCTCACAAACAGCTGAATCTAAAATATTTCAAAATCCATCGATGGCTTACTTTCTGTAAACTGTACTATTGTATGCTTTCAGTATTTCAACCTTATTTTATTGGAATCAAATTGAGAACGACATATTTAACTATTACATTATTTTTCCAGCTTCCCGTATTCGATACGAGATCACAAGCGGTAACATAGGTGGTGCTTTTGCAGTCAAAAATATGACCGGTGCCATCTATGTAGCAGGAGCCTTGGATTATGAAACAAGGAAACGGGTAAGTACCATTTACTAGAGTCATATATGAATACTAATGAACCTACTCGCGATGTAAGAAATTCGTATTATGTACAGCTAATACTCTCAAATAAAATCACAAGTAAACTGATTTGGAATATAAATCAGGGACTATTCAACTGTAAGATGCTGGAAATATATTTGAGTTTTGCTCGCAAACTCGAGAAGCAAAATATATGCATTTCTCGTAAAAATAAAATTATATCTCGAATGCACTGGTCGTTGGTTTCTTTATGCGTATGCTCCTTTCAAATTCAGCTTGTGTAGCAATATGAAAGGTTTCAAGACGTATTTTTATTTATCACCAAATTGTATTCTTTTATGAAAGTTAACAATGGAAAAGTTTATATAAGAAAAACACGTTTTGGCCCATAAATCCTTATGAAAATATGAGTATTTATTGTTAATTCCACGCATACTTTGAACTGAAGTGTAATATTTACTAATATTTATCCTCCAAACAGTACGAATTAAGGTTAGCAGCTTCGGATAACTTGAAGGAGAACTATACTACGGTTGTAATCCATGTTAAGGATGTAAACGACAATCCACCAGTTTTTGAAAGACCCACTTACAGAACTCAGATCACAGAAGAGGACGATCGCAACTTGCCGAAATCTGTTTTGAGGGCGAGTGTCTTTCAATGACAATATTTCGACATAATCGTATTCAGAGAAGTCCTTATTTTTTCTTTGAACATTGACAGAAAAATTGCATTTACGGATTACGAATTGTAATCCGAAAAATTGTATAATTCAGAATTAGGACTCTCTGCATACCATTATTTGAGTACTCGCATGTGGGGTTATTTTCTATTCTTTTGCAGCATTGACTTTCCTGAACCGTTGATGATATTGATTTAATTTTCAGTTATATTGAGAGGTTGTGAACATTGTCGTTACATACCGTCACTTTTTATACAACTTATTTTCAACTGCTAATAGAGTATCAACCACAACCTCTCACTATATAATCCTTCTTTATTTTTACGTTAATTTATTGCTAGTTCTCCATTGTTTTGCATCGCATCATTTCAAGTTCGGTTCAGTTTTCTACACCGACGCGGTATTTTGCATGGCGGGCGAAAGTTCGGGTTGATAAAGTTGGAAGTGGTGAACATTCATTTCTTTCTTGGATGCTATTTTTCACGACTTAAATAAGCACTCGAAACTTTTCTGTAAACAAGAATATCAATCGTCTGATTTTTGCATTTTCACAAAAGTATATGCCAATTGTAACCACCGTCGCTTTTTACTTTTTTTCTTTCTCGCAATCCATCTACAAAGCTCTAGGAAAAATATGGAAAGCTTTAAATTTTTTATAAAGTACATGTGAAGTTACGTGCGTACTTATGTGAAATCTAATGTAATTGGGTGAAAACACGACCTTGCCTGTTTTATTATATAAACATTGAATCACTTTTAAATTCCTTTAAATTTAAGTAAATTTTTTCAATATTATTGATATTTTTTCAATCGGTGCAGTACCAAAACTGTTTGTAATTGTATTATTGCTTCAACAGAATTTTTGAGGCATGAAGTGGCTGTTTTTGCATCAAAGTGCTGTAAAAAGTATAATGAATGGTTTGAGTAAAAAAGCATAAAGAATGGAGTATATTGAAATCGAACACTGGCAACATGTCGAACGATACATGTTTATATAAAATTCCTATCAATCCATGGACATGTTTACTCACTTAGATCTAAATTTCCTTAATCCGTTAATAAGCACCCTATATAATTGTGAGTAATTTGCATTTAAGTGTTTACACTTAAAGTGTATTCCTTCTTATATACACCAACAGTTCTTCTTACATACGCTATCAATTTTCATGCCAGAAAAATTTGCATATGGCACAACACTTATTTCTCGAATTATTTTGAGTAAATTGTTTGAATGTTCTTTCGCTTATTTCGGGCAGTACGCCAAATTTTACTGAAAGGATTGCCAACATTTTTCTAAGAGATTATAATAACCGTATCCATCTCGACTGTTGGCATCTTGTCCTAGTAAAATGTGAAAACGTTTTATCAAGTCATTCCTCATTATTCCAATTCCGTCGGTTTTCGGAGAAGTATTAAGATTAATTTAGTTTTCTATCAATTCATTCTACAAGTAGTTATACAACTAGTTTGTAGTTTTATAGTAGTCTGATACGGATTTTTTTTATCAAATAAAATATAGCATGGCCATTTTTGCAAAGCACACATCATTTTTTAAATATGTTTGAACCGTTGGGACGCGAAAAATAGTGATTGGGTTAGGTTGAAGAATTTTTCAGATATGATTTGATTTAAAAACAAATGTTTGTTTTTTCTCCTTACGGAAAACGTTATTCTGACTACTCTTATGGATAAATAGAAATGTTGCTAGTTGATTGTGATAGGTCCAAAAGATTCGCACCATCTGCCTCATTTTTGGTATGTCCGCAGTTCGTACCAATCCCAACATATTCAATACTACTCTCTAATACTAACTCTCAGCACTAGAATATTTTGTTAATGGCTGAACTGGTGCATACATTTTAGTCAATATTGGGTTTAAGTTTCTAAAGTAAAAATGTTTTTTTGTGTGAATGTCTATGGCTCACATTTCGGTTATGTTTCCTCAAATCTGGACTTTGCATCTACCTTTAAAAACAACTTATTGCTACCTTGTTCTATTCAGGCCATAAAAACGAATTAGACAGTACATTCTTTCTAATATTGCAATAGTATTTCCATTTTATATGGACTGAATTAGGTAGACAACCTTGCGTATAAGATGACTAACTTAGAATTCTAAGAAAAGCAATTCCAGGAAATTAATACATAGGATAATGGCCTTTCATATCAGTATTCCAAATTGACTGAAAAGTTTAAAAATATCTGAATAAATTATGCGTTTTTGAACCGTTTGTATCTTGTGACATGGAGTCGAGATATTTTTTAATCAAACTGCACGAAACAACCTACTACTTAAAAAAAATCGGTACATTCGGTTTTCCAGATACAGCAACATTGTAAATACGTGAAAATAAAGTTCGTCCTCATTTAATTTTTACTAACATTCCAGTGCTGGTTCACATTCAGTTCTTTTTGACAAATGGAACTCTTTCATCTTAACTGAAGAAGGCAGGCGACAGTTTCAATTTTTAAACCTAAAAACTTTATCATTAAAATGCAAAGCGCTCAAAGACTTAATATGAATTTATTTCATCCTAAAATAGTATCACATTGATAAAAAGAAGTGGAACTCTCTACATTTCCTTTAAATTATCTTGAAAGGATGCCGCAACGCTGACCATTACGAATTACTGAGACGTGATAAGTTTTATCAAAATCGACCGCCGTAGTTATTCGCAGTTGAAATAAATAATTCTTCAAACGTTTTTTAATTTTTAAAGCTTAATTGGAAAAACGTTTAAGCCCTTGCAGTTATTAATGAAAATCATTCCATTAACGGGATTTAAAAATAATAATAAACTAAAAGATCAAAATGCACATCATCCAATTTCACGGGGGATTTTATTTTCAATAACCTTAATTCAATCGGATCATAAAGCAGATCGAAAGGTAGGTGAAATTCAAAGCTGTTCAAAACCAGGAAAGACACAAATCATTTCCCTTTATAAATCACGTATTTTCCAGTCGGTCGCTTCCAAACTTTATCATGGTCGAACTTTCGAACCGTATCATATTATTTATGATTTTGTTTCGGATTTATTGCACATCTCTCTTGTATTTATTTGTTTTGTTATATCTATTATGTGACTGTAGACAAAGGAGAACGCAAACACGAAGAGACATTAAGCCGACATTTTACGTCGGATAATGTTGTCGAACTTGTCTGCACCTTTTTCCTAGTTTGTTTTTTGTTTGTTTTTGGTTTTGGCATGCCTAGTACGAGCTAACCCTGGTAGCGTCAGATAGCCTAAATGAAAATTACACCACCGTAGTCATACATATTAAAGATGTGAATGATCTGCCGCCAAAGTTCAACTGTAGCTCTTACGATAGAGAGGTTCAAGAGGAATATCCTGGATCATACCCCATGTTACTTATGCAGGTTAGGTTACACATAACAGCATTTAATCTTTCATTAGGTACCGTTATTGTTGCTACTGAAAGACAGTAAGTATTGTTAAACTAAAATATTTTGGTAGCAAATGAAGTAAGCAACAGAAGACAATAATGTTAAAAATATTTTGTTTGCTGAGCTGAGTTACATTTAGGAAATTTTCAAAAACTTCACTAGATTGAATTGAGTACCTACCTATTCAATTGCCTATGTATTGTTTCATTTTTCATGCTCGAACGCAAAAGCTTCTTTTGGATGTGTCTTCATACAGTTTCATAACTTGAAGTAAAATCGAGAGAAAATTTCTAAATAAAATGAAATTCTACTGGGCAATAATGCTCAAAATCACTCAATAAGAGATTAGGCGTTCTTACAAATAAAGGTGAAAATATTAATTTTACAGTTTATTCTTCAAAAAAACGTTTACAAGCCTTTGTTTCGTCGTTTTTCAAGAGTTGCTGATGATCCTTTTAAACCTATTAGGTTAAGGAATAGAGAAACTATTAATATGTGAAAAGTAACCAAATAGTTGGCAATGATTATTCTGAGCAGTGATCATTAAATCTAATCTTTATCTAATCCATCAATATTTTTCCACATAATATTCCAACAATATTTTTTTAAATAAAATAATTGCCAGACGAAAGATTATTTTTAAATAGTTCTCCAAATGAATTTATTTTATGACTAAAGGATATTTAGTGGGTAATTTTGATATAATTTTTAACAGCAAAAAATTATGAATATTAAAAATTGTATATGCAATCCGTCATGTGAAAAAGAAAGCTCGAAACACGCCTTAACTTTAATGTAAAAATTGTACGATTAAGAACTTCAAGGATACTCAGCTGCTCAATCTTTTGTGAAGAATTCAAAGTACCAATTATAATTCGGGAGCATCCTGCCTTTCTTTCCATTATACGGGTATTAAAATTATCAGGTAGTTGCCTTATAATGTAAAGCAAACTGTTTAAGCATGACAGATTATCTTGACCAGCTGCAACAAAAAACGGCATATTAAAAATTGTAAATATTTAAAAACCATCTGAGAAATTTATACCGCGGCTTTTTGTTATGCGTTCAATTTGGTCCCTACACAAGCTTTAAAATGCTATTAAATTACTTGAAAGAAATATCGAGCTGACTTCCAGCAAAAAGTTTCCTCATTACAAGAAAATTTTGTATCGAATTTCTTCCTTTGTAATGAAGCCGTCTGCCAAAGCAAAGTTTTCTTTTTTGGCGAAAATCGATAAATTTTTAAGCTAAGTGAAATATGATTCTGTTATAAAAATACCAAATTGAATAAATCAAGGAAAATTTCAGCATTTTCTGTGTGAAATAAAAAATATAAAATTTATCTTTTTTAACACAACTGTTTCTATAGAAGGTGTTTCAAAACTGCTTTGAATGAATGAAATAATTATTTTATGTCGTACTATCCGCGTTATTTTCATGTGTTGAAGTCAAGACTTCAACAATCGAGAATCTAATTTGATGTAAAAAATTTGAATTGTTCTCTTCGTAGACTCGAAATCTCCACAAGTTTCACCGCTTATCAAGCTTTATTTTC